AAGCAATTTGTGGACTAGAGTTTCTGATCTTGGGCTCTTCTTCCCATTCAGTTTGACGACAAACCCTTGGCTGTCTGAGCACAATAAGTCATTAAGTTTTTTTGATTCCATCATTTTGCAAACGATTTTATCTTTGATATAGATTTGTTCTAATTTATTAGGAGCTTATGATGATAATTTAAATTATCTTAGCGGATTTCAGTGAGATTTAATATATAAGAATCAATGATCTGTTTGTTACACACACTGGCTCTTGGATTTCGATAAAAATGCATGTTAGAACTTGGTTTGTGCCTTCTTAGTCCCAGATAAGCTGAAAAAGAGTGCTTATTCTGATTCATGGGAAGGCAAAATTAAACTCAAAACTGAGAGTTTCGCTGAGAAACCCATTTCTTTCTTCAATTAAAGGTGTTTCCTAGTAACTTATCCATACATGTCAAAATGAGACATTATTTTGTTGTTTAATTTCATTTTTGAACCTTTTGACTGTAGTTGATTTGGTTTTATTGTAGTTTGGAAAATGATGCGAAAAGATATCGAATTATGTTATCATAGGCATATATTTTGTGCTGTGCTGAACGAAATTCTATTTGCACGTCAGTCTGATTCCAAACTCTGTTATTACTAGATCTTACCTGTCATTCTATTAATCCCTTTAGTCATTTTTATAATTCATAGTGTTCTGTTTTGTAAGATACTAGTCAACGTTTAAGATCATTGGTTTTTGGTCACGGTTTTTGAGGGGGGCATGCAACATCTTGAAGGGTGGCATAATGTTGTTGGATAAAATTAACCCCTAATTTTAAAACATTGGTCTATGTATATGTTAAACATCCTACCAACATTGCATATTGTATTTTCTACATGCCTTTTCTTACTATTGGTAAGAAAAGATTAGAGGTGGACCAAATCAACCACGACGGACTAGAAATGCCTTCATGTATGGTCCAGCCAGAGGGTTTGCATGATTTTTCGTACAATCAAAACGTCATAGACCTGAGCTTGTGGACTAGTGCTCGTGAGGATTAGATTTCATGAAAGATGAGTTGTACCAGAGGATAAAAATGATAGGTCGATAGTCCGGAGCTCGTAATGAACCATAGGCTAATGTTTGAATTTTTTGATGGTAATGCGTTGGTTTAGGAACATGTCCGTATTACTTGAGCTCGTATTGAACCATAGGCTAATGTTTGAATTTTATGTATTCTTTTAAACATCTTTGTTTGATTCTTTTCGATAAAAGTCAAACGTGCAGTTCACATTACTTGATGAATATATCTATCATGAATTGTTGAAATAATCTTTCGTCTAATAGAATCACGACTGAATCTGGAACTTGAAACAATAAATAATATTTTGTCTAATAGAATCACGACTGAATCTGGAACTTGAAACAATAATAATATTGCCGTGTTACTGTTTTTCTACCCCTTCCTGAGCTAACCCCTGCGTAGTATTGATTTTGAATAGTATAGATTAATAATAAATTTTGAATAGTATAGATGAATAAATTTTGAACAGTATAGATTAAAAAATGAATTAATAAGGTAATAAATATATGTGACAATTTTCGTACCTTCATGAACTTTGTTGAAGTTTTTGTTGTCATTAACAATTTCATCAATGCACACTTCATGTCTTGGTATTCTAGCATGAGACTCATTGATAAGGAAAAACAAAGGATTGTAGCAACCATAGTGATATTCAATTTTTTTACTATAGTCAAACCTTCCATACATAACAATATTTCTCTTGTATATAGTGATTTTGTCATTGTCTTTCACTCGGATACCATCAACTTGTAGAAATATTTTGTCTTATCTTTGCATATTATACATTTTAAAGTAAATAAGATAAAATAAATACTTGTATTTTAACCTTAGATATGGTGGGTCGGTTGTGCACCATCTGAACAAGTTTTGTAGAAGCATTCAAAGTGACTATAATTGTCGAGTGGTTCTAAGGCAAAGCTTCATAATGTTCTCACGTATGAGTTTATAGAAAGAACATGAGTCAATATTTCAATGACGTTTCTATCAAGATTTGACCACTGTACTTATTTTAATTGATTTATTCATTTATCTAGGTGGATATTCAACTTCAAAGAGTTTAAGATCCGCTAGAAGATAATGAAAGATGTTCAGAGTTTCTAGGTATTTTTTGGATTTCACCATGAGCATTAGAAACCTTACGACCGACCTTTGATAAAAAATTCTTCAACGAGTATCCACAACCTTCAACCGAAGCATTCAATTGAATGCGATACTCAGTCTTCATGAGTTTTGTTTGTTTTTGAAGGGCAACAACAGTTGACTGGTTTTGGTTAACCAAATCTTTACATTTTTAGTGATTTATGGTGAAAACTATGAACCTCTTCCTCATGAAGCATAAACATATCAATTTTACTTCCAACTATTGAATCCATCCGCCCCATGATTCCATCCGCCTTGGTCTGTAAACAAGTAACATGGTAAAAAAAGATGCTCTATCTGCTTTTACATTGTATTCCACTCGTTGAAATTGATCAAACCAAGTAACAACAAAGCATCTTGCTTTAGCTCCTACCATTTTGGTTGAAAACTTGTAGCCTCGTGGTTGACAAGGCCCCCTAACCAAGTATTGCTGTCTAATTTCATCTCTTTGATTGCCTCTATAATGGATCCCAAAGAAGACTGTTAACATCAACATGTTGTTATAAGCATTATCGGTTGAGTATCAAATTCCAGATGGAGCTTTTCGTTTCAAATTTTTTTTTTTCTATATCAACACTAAGTAATGAACTGTAAATGAAAGTGAAAAAAAAAACTTCGATAATCAACAATATATTCAATAAAGCTAAACAAGTTACAATAACTACCTAATTAATAACCTAAACGGGTAATGGTTCGATATGTAAATCAAGTAATCAACATCGAACATTTCAACTGTTCAACGATATATGTAAATCAAACCCTTGAAAGAACTGAGATAGCCTCCTCTAGTGGTACAAAAGAACTCCAATACCTAATTACATGTTTTGACATTTGAGTTTTGAGTGACTAAAATTCCAGCTTCTAGATTCCATAAAACAAAGAAGAGAAGATTCAATGAATGAAGACTCAAATAACTGAGTTAAACACCGACTTAATGATGAGTACATTGAGTTGATCCAGTCAAGACTTCGTTAGTTCGTTTGAACCATTCTCTATGTTGTCGAGTGGTTAAAGGTTTCTTGGAATCTCTGTTTTAATATATTCATTCCTTAAGAGTAAAATAAAGAATTTAGTTATTTTATGACACTTTTGAAAAATGTCATATAAACCCATTTTTTTATAGGACATTTACGTTTACAAGATACTTTTTAAATAGTGTCGTATAAAATAGTTAATATGACACTTTATTTTAGAAACTTATTAAAACGGTTAAAAACGTCCTATAATCCATTGTAACATTTTTAGATAACATACTTTTTGATTTTGTCCTATAAACTTAATTTTTATAATGTATTTTTACGACGTTTTTACAGTTTAAGCGTCCTATATAATCAATTTTGTTGTAGCGAATGTAAAATTATATTTATGTTTTAATTGTTTCTCAAATATGTTAACAAAATATATAAATTAACAATTTAAAAATAATATAAAAAAGTGAAAACTAATAAATTATATTTAATATTTTTTAATAATTTTTATGAAATACATACATATATATATATATATTAAATTTATATAATAATCTATAAATAAATTTACATTTTATAAATAAAAAATGAAAATAGGTTCTTATAAGAATATCCTTGTGAAGTTTTATTGAGATTTTTATTTTGTTAATGCAGCAGGAAAAAATTAGAAGGATCTCATTTAAAGGTACCCCTATATCTATAGAGGGACAATTCATTTACAAACCATATTATTCTAACAAATTATGGTTTAATTACGTGAGACCAATAGTTTTTCGTGAGACCAATTCTCAATAATTGGATTACATATATAATTTGAACATTCATAATCACAAAATTGCCACGAGACTTCTTAATAATCACAAAATTGTCACCGTGTAACTTTAGATCATTAGCTTATAAAGTTGATCAATAAACATAAATTGGTCTTACGGGTCTCATGAAAAATTCTTGGTCTCACGTTAACCTAACCATATATATATATATATATATATATATAGAAACTTCCTAGATTAGAAGGTAAAACGCTATGAAGGTAACACAACCAGCCTGTTTTTGTGAGACCTGTGAGACCATTTTTTTACACTTGAAACTTCACAGCAAAACGCTATGAAGGTAACACATTTTACATTCACATCGTTTTGCTGTGAAGTTTCAAGTGTAAAAAAATGATCACACGGGTCTCATGAAAACAGACGGGTCTCACGAAAACAGATTGGTCTCATGTGAACCCAATCCATATATATATATATACACACACACGCTATTGTGATACCCGTTGAATGACAAACTTCTAGAATATAGAGAAACTTCCTAGATTAGAAGGTATTAGCAAACAGACTTGGGTTTGCTGGAGTTGATCACAGTACACATAAAGGGAAGTCAGTGTTTTATTTGTACTTTACATGTCCAGTTGCCTCACTAACACAAATCAGTGGATATTAATTTAACTCCCAAATGGTGTGCTGCTGCTGCATATGTCTTATTTTAATCAGCTTTCTTGCCTTTCTGTAACCATGGTCAAACATCCAATTTCACATCATTGACTCAGTGGACAGTTTGCTGTAAGTAAGCAATACCAATATCCCACTTAAAGTTCATTCAGAAACTTCGCACCTATGCCTCTTTCCTTCTAGATCTCCACCCCTATAAAGTAAGAACCCCATATTTGCCATCATTTCTCATCTGTGAAAACAGCTTTTTATTGCACAAATCTCTCTCAATCATCCCATATGATCAATTGCATAACAGAACGCATGTTTCATCTTCTCTTTCCATCTTGGAATGCATCTTCATCATCCCTTCACCACGGACGTCCGTCACTGAAACCAACTGCTGTCAAAATGGGAGCTGGAGGACGTCCGTTTGATCATCCACCTGATGATCAAATGATCTTGAAACAAAAGGTGGTGGAATCTCGAAGGGCTTCTTCTAATCATGCTGCATATGTCTCACATGGTATCTTCTTTGCTGTCTTCTTGTCGGTTGTTTATTATCTCATTGTAAGGTGGCATGAAAAGACCCTCAACTCCACTCCTCTCCTTGTTGTCACCATGTTTGAGATGGCTGCCATTATCACCTTCGTGGCTTCCTGTATTTACCTTCTTGTTTACTTTGGCAATAGCCTTGTACACCACACACATTTTTTAGATGAGGAAGAAGACCAACCAGAAGAAACAACAAACACCGTTCATTGTGAATATGCTCATCTGTCTTTAAAACAAGTTGGAAAGAAGGATAAAGTGACCCAAGAGGATGAGGCGGTGATACAAGCGGTGGTTTCCGGTGAAACGCCATCTTATTCATTGGAATCGAAGCTTGGGGACTGCAAACGAGCAGCGGTTATCAGAAGAATGGCGGTAGAGAGGATCGCCGGAAAGTCTCTTGACGGTTTGCCGGTGGACGGGTTTGATTATGAATCTATATTGGGACAGTGTTGTGAGATGCCTGTTGGTTATGTTCAAATACCAGTGGGAATTGCTGGCCCGATGTTGCTGGATGGAAAGGAGTTCTGGGTTCCCATGGCGACCACTGAAGGGTGTCTTGTGGCTAGTACCAATAGGGGTTGTAAGGCCATTTACGCTTCTGGTGGAGCCACCAGCATCTTACTCAAGGATGGCATGACTCGAGCTCCGGTGGTCAGGTTCGCCACTGCCAAGAGGGCTGCTGAGTTGAAATTCTTCTTGGAGGAACCACTCAACTTTGAGACACTTGCCACCGTTTTCAACAAGTAAGCTAGTTCTACACTTGTACTCGAGCATTTTTAAGTATAAATTATATACGGTCAAATGCAACAAATAAACTCAGACACCCTTCTCATCTTTTAGTATAGTTGGCTAATTTTAGTTGAATGCAACGATTTGCAGATCAAGCAGATTCGGGAGGCTTCAGACAATCCGATGTGCGATTGCAGGGAAGAATCTATACATAAGGTTCACTTGCAGCACCGGCGATGCAATGGGGATGAACATGGTTTCGAAAGGTGTTCAAAATGTTTTGGAGTATCTCCGGGCTGATTTCTCCGATATGGACGTCATTGGCATCTCCGGCAACTATTGCTCCGATAAGAAACCGGCGGCGGTGAACTGGATTGAAGGGAGAGGCAAATCGGTGGTGTGTGAGGCAATTATAAAGGAACAAGTGGTGAAGAAAGTACTGAAAACAAACGTAGCTTCATTGGTGGAGTTAAACATGCTCAAGAACCTCACTGGATCCGCCATGGCCGGTGCTCTTGGTGGGTTCAATGCTCATGCTAGTAACATCGTGTCGGCCGTGTACCTTGCCACCGGCCAAGATCCAGCTCAGAACATCGAGAGCTCCCACTGCATCACCATGATGGAAGCTGTGAACGGCGGCAATGACCTTCATGTGTCGGTGACCATGCCTTCAATCGAGGTTGGGACGGTGGGTGGTGGAACTCAGTTGACTTCACAATCTGCATGCCTGAACTTGCTGGGAGTGAAGGGTGCAAACAAAGAATCAGCTGGATCAAATGCACGGCAGTTGGCTATGGTGGTCGCCGCCGCAGTTCTCGCCGGAGAGCTGTCTCTTATGTCAGCAATCGCGGCGGGGCAACTAGTGAACAGCCACATGAAATACAACCGCTCCAATAAAGACAATTCCGTCGAATCTTAAGAGAATTCTCAATCTCGATCAGTCACCGGTTATTGGCCGGCCGGCCGCCGTTACGGTGGCTGTTTCGCCATTGCAGATAGATTATTTAATTTGTGTCCAAGTTAAAAAGCATAACTTCTACCATGAAATTAAATAAAAAAATTGACCCAATTGTATTAAGCATATGATAAGTATTAAAAGTTTAAAATATAAAACTATCACATTTTATAGAAGGGTAGTTTCGTCAATATTAAGTTTGATAGTTTAGTAAGTTGTGGTTTGTTAATTGTTGTTTAGAATGTTCTCTATTGTATATATTGTTGTTTAGCTCATTGGTGAAATAACAAGAAATAAAAATTCTCTCACTTTTTTTTTTATTAACTTGGATATCCAATCTGCTATGTGAGCCGACTAATTCCAAGACGACTACCTATTTTGCAGATAGTTTTGAGTCACTGCATTTGAACATCAGTGGCCACAAGGGGATTTTCATTTCTTATTGGATTTGAACTTGGATTTTTATTCTCTCAATTGCTTTTTATTACATGATATTAGAGCAAAACGCTCTTTCCATTGCTCGTTAGAATTCTTTGTGGGATTAATCATGCCAAAATCATCAAATGTTCATTCTACTTGGTCCTCTAAATCTTTTGAATCTGTTTCAGCCATCGGTGACATATTTCATCCATACTTTTTGCATCATGCAGGCAGTCTCAGTCAAATTCTTGTCTTTCAGTTGCTCACCGGTGATAATAATTCCTATTGGAGTAGAGCCATGCTAATTGCTTTAGCAGCGAAAAAACAAAGTTGGATTTGTGGATGATTCTTTGCAGAAACTTAATGCAAGTGATCTTAACTTGCTGAATTCGTAGAATCGAAACAATATCATTGTGATGTTGTGGTTGCTCAACTTTTCTTTCCAAAGAAATATCTACAAGTGTGATGTTTGTGGAATTCGTTGTTGAGATCTGGTTAGATACATAAAAGATTGATTCGAGTAGAGCATTGGCCCTAAAATTTCTTGATTAAGCGAAAAATTGTGAACGTCGCTCAAAATCAAGAGTTTGTTGCTATGTATTTTACCAAGCTCAAGTCGTTAATCGAAGAAATGGAACATTCATACCACATTGCTCCCGTGGGAAATGCACATGTGATGGTGTCAATAAAATTTTACTAATGGATCCAATTCCTCCTATTAATCGAGTTTTGCCTCTTGTTAGTCAGGAAGAATAGCAGCGAAAGTATATAACACTCTAGCCTTCAATGCCAGTAGTGGATTCAAGGGATACTCTGGTAATGATCAATTTTCTAAAGCTCCTAATCATGAACGTCCTTTTTTACTCATTGTAAAATTCCTGGACATATCATGGAGGGGTGGTAAAAACTTCATGGATATCCGATCAGATATAAATAGAAGCAAACAAAGACTAATTATATTAATCAAGATATATTTCGATACCTAAAAAGAACCATCGACATGGGCTTATTCTTTCCCTACAAAGAAAAATAATGGGGTTACAACACCTCTTAAAAGTATTAGCAAAGAAAATGTTATCCCATACAGTGAAAACCCCAAATGATATATTAGTAGGTTTTGCTGATGCTGAGTATCTTTCTGATCCACACAGAGGTCGTTTCCAAATAGAATATGTTTTTACAATTGGAAACATGGTGATTTCTTGGAAATCTACCAAGCAAACCCTTGTAGCAACATCCTCGAACCATTCAGAGATTATTGCTCTATATGAGGCGGTTCAAGAGTGTATCTGACTAAGGTATGTCATTACACATATAAGAGGGGCTAGTGGTTTAAGTTCAACCACTCAAAATCCTACATGCATATATGAAGATAATGCAGCTTGTATCAAACAAATGAAAGTAGGATATATCAAGGGTGATAATACGAAACATATTTCGCCAAAGTTTTTCTATATTCAACAACAACAAACTCTCCTTAAGATTCAAGTGAATCAAGTAAGGGGTGAGAAAAATGTGGCTGATTTGTTTATCAAATCATTGCCTAAGACCACATTTGAGAAACATGTGAAAAACATTGGAATGCGGAGACATTCCAAACTCTCTTGATTAATGTATGTATCAGGGGAAGTAGTATTGGTATGCTGTACTTTTTCCTTCACCCAATGTTTTATTTTTCCCATTGGGTTTTGTTCCTTGTTGTAAGATTTTAGTGATGAAACAATTTATATACCATATTGTTTTTCTAACGCTCATGATTAATGTACGAATCTGAAAGAATATTAGACTAAAATGAAAAGTCTGTATTGCAAATAAACTGGTGCATTGTACTCTTTTCTTCGTCCTAATTTTATTTTTTCCCACTGGATTTTTATTTTGGCGTAAGGTTTTAACGAGACAACAGTTAATTAGTTATGCACCATCACTCCTTTGACTCGGCACAAGGAGGAGTGTTGTAGGATAAGTGTGTCATGGTGATGAGAATGAGATGGAAGGAAACAAGGAACAAATAACAATTGGTGATGATACTTACGAAACAATAAGCATGCTTGTAGGGACTAACACTAACACATGCAATGAACGACCACAAAAAAGATTAAAGTCGGTTGTTTGGAATCATTTTGAACAAGTGTATGTTGATGGTGTTAGACGATATGCAAGATGTAATTATTGCAATAAACAACTGACGGGTAAAGCCAACGCCGGAACTACACATTTGAAGGACCATTTTAAGAATTGTCCAAGAAGAGTTACAAAGGACATTAGACAACATATCCTAGTTCAGGACCAAAAGGCTTCAGACGGAAAGTGGAAAATGAGTAAATATTCATTTAATACTGAACTTTGTAGGGAAGACTTAGCTAAAATGATTATTATACATGATTATCCGCTTTCTATTGTCGAGCACTATGGTTTTCGAAAATATTCAGAAGGTCTCCAACCTTTATTTAAGGTACCATCTCGAGCAACAATAAAGAGTGACGTAATGAGTGTTTATGAAAAACAAAGAGGTTACACTTTGCGGTGTTTGGATGAGAATGAGAGTAGGATTGCCTTAACTTCAGATATGTGGACARCAAGTAACCAAAAGAAAGGTTACATGGCGATTACGGCACATTATATAGATGGCAAATTGAAGTTAATAAATTATTTCTTTCCGAAAATCTATGGTGATGAGGCAAAAAGTGAGGTTATGAGGATACGTAACCTATGTGTCGAGTTGTTTGAAGAGTATAAGAAGAAGTATGCCGACAAACCTTCACAAAAAGAACAATCAACCGCTAGTTCCTTAGATGTAGATGATTTCACTTCTGACAAACCTACATGGGAGATGGATTTTGAGTCTATGGTGTGTGATGATGATGTCTTGAAAACAAGTGAATTGGATGATTATTTGGCCGAAAAATTGTCACCTAATGAAGACGGCTTTGATATCTTAATGTGGTRGAAATGCAATGGCTCCAAGTTTCCTATGCTCCAAAGAATTGCAAGAGACGTTTTAGCCATACCAATTTCTACGGTAGCTTCTGAATCCGCTTTTAACATGAGCGGTAACAAAGTCACAAAACAACGTAGTCGACTACACCCAAAGACAGTTGGAGCATTAATGTGCACTCAAAGTTGGTTACGGAAAGAACTTCAAGGTAAAAAATTATTTAAATTCTTAGTCATACAACTAATTATATTTTTTTTCTAACTTGTCTTACTTTTTGTAGATAAAAAACATGGAGAGCCTCAAGCATTTGATGAAACAGTTACATATGATGCGGATGTCGAGTAACAACTAACAAGTGGTTGTTTTATTTTTTTTGATGGTAGATAGTATAGAAATTTACTTGATATGTTTTGGTCCTTTCGGATATTACTCGATGTAGTTTTAATACGTTTGACGTTAACTTTGATAATATTAGTTTAAACTTTTTGGTCTTGTTTAAGTCTTATTTTAATATTGGTGTATTTCAATAAATAGTGATGTTTTATAATTTTTGGTTTTTAAAAAAAATCCCCGTTGGGGACGGGAATGGGGATGTGATCATAATCCCCGGCGGGGACGGGGACGGGGACACATWTGGGGGATCAGGGACGGGGACGGGTATTGGGGTCCCCGCCCCATCCCCGCCCCATTACCATCCCTACTCTCTATTTTTTTGTTTGATTAACCTTCATATCTAATCTGCTATGCGAACCGACTAATTTCAAGGCAACCACCTGTTTTGCACGTAGTCCGGAGTCACCGCATTTGGACCTCTAAACATTTTTGACCTTTGGAGCACAAACTCAAACCAATCAAACACCTTTATTTCTGGAGTGAAGAGTCTAGTTTGATATCAATCTTTTAATTACATGCTAAATTATGCATACACATCATTTAATTACATTTTTACCTCAATCTTGATCGAGATTATCGGCTATTAAAGCGTATACTTTAAGGTTGAAGTGTCTCGTTTGAAAGTGTCATCCAAAGAAGAGTGTTGTATACTGAGATACGTTAGTTCACGATCATTTGTTAACCACTTAAACAATGTTAATTTTACAACCTCATATCAGGCTTTCATTTTCTTGACTGACGATTGTGGTTAAATGAGAGGTTTATAATCTCATTAAAAAGGAAACAAATTGAATGATATTAAATGGAGGTGATTTTTGGAACCAAATGTTGTTATTTTTGGAAGATAATTATATTTTATTTTCGAAAGATAATCATCTTCCCACTCTCTCCTCTCTTCCTCTTGGATCCGCCAGTGGCATCGATAAATCGTTCTACACAACCTCTAGTTACCACCTCTACCCACCCCGCCATCGACGTCACCAACCACCGCCATCACCACACGTTGCTTAAAACGTGATGGAAGCTTTCGTTCATTATGCCACTTAATGCCCATTGCCTTGTGACTTTTTCATATTCGGGCTTACGCTGGAAACTCTCATCTGGAAGGCGCTCAACCATTATAGCGGCCGGGCGGTTTTCACCGACGAAAAAAACTACTATCCTGCCTACATCGAGAAAAAACACCCAGAACCATTACGGCGGCCCAACGGTTTATTTTTTTGTTTAAAGATTTGCTTTTTGTTTGAATTCGATTTAGATTTTTTTTCCATTTGCGTTTGTTTTTTTGTTTGAATTCGATTTACGATTTTTTGATTTGTGTCACAAAGTGATAATGAATTTGATTTTGAAACCCAAAAATCTGCTCCTCCTGTGATTAAATGATGTTTGTTTAATTTTCACAGTGGTTGTTTCATTTATGAACTTTGATTGTTCATTTTTTTTAAACCAAAATTCATACGTGAAACAATGATTTTTGCTTAAAGTTTATAGGTGAAAAACAATGATTTTTGTTTAAAATTCATAATGTTGTTTCGTGTATGAACTTTAGTTAAATTTTTTTTACCAAAATTCATAGGTGAAACCAGAAAATAAATATGATAATTAAAGAAGTTTAAACAGGCTCATAAGTGAGACCAAAAAAATTCATAGGTTAAACAATTAATTAAATAATATGATAATTAAGTGAACGAATAATTAAGAAATGTGATATCAATTATTGGAAAAAAAAGTCAAACAAATATGAAGTACATAATTCATACAGCTGTTGATTTCATATTCTCTCTTAATAAGGGGATGTTCGGTTCGTTTTTTGTTAAGACCTGTATGGATATAACTTTCTGTATTGATATAATTGTCTGTATATTAACAGATAAGTTGTTGTTCGGTTGTTGTGCTGAATAAACAGTCTGAATGTCAGAAATGACCATTTTACCCTCATTCTTTATTTTTATTTGAATAAAACAACAGTTTGATGAAAATGTTGAACAAATGACTTATAATTATAAAAAAAAAAATATCAATTTAAAAGTTTTTTAAATAAAACCAACTTGATTAACATAATTATGAGTTAAATGTTATAATCAAAACAATTTATTTACATAACATACTTAAACACTTAAACAACTTTATTGACATAACATAATTATGGGCCGTTTACCAAACGCTTACTCGGGTAAGTGAACACCAAGTCATTTTACCTTACCGGATGAATATGGTAAGGATCAATAATCTTACCCGGTAAGGGCAAAACGAGGACCAAAAGTTTTACCCGATAATTGAATACGACGACTCTTACCACGGTAAGCTCTTGACGGGTAAATTGTTGCATACGATACCGTTGTGGTGGACTAAAATCTTATCCGGTAAATAAATGATAGTGTTAAATTTAGGTAAGTATTTGGTAAAGGGACACTTGATAAGTCTTTTTTACTTTGTTTCTCTATAAAGTCAAACAAGTTATGCATTTGGAGTATTTGGATGACTTGAACCTCTTGTTTCACATAAAAAGCAACTTTATTGACATAACATACTTACACACTTGAACAACAAACAAATAGATGAAAATGTATAGCTTAACTGAACCTTTTACTGGAATCAGTACAAGTTCCATGAGCTGAATGAGATCAGCTGAACAAGAACAAAGGGATATATAGAGAAAAGATCAACATAAACAAGAAGCATATATAGAGAGAGCTTATCTCCGATCTAAAAGCAGACCACCAGACCAACCGAAACCTGCCATGCCTCAGCATGGCAGGCGACGATGGGTTAATGGTTTGCGTCGCTTTTTATTTATTGAGATCGAGAAGTTTAAGATTTGATAGCTGTAACATCTTTGCTGGAGCGGTTGTATTTCATGTGGCTCTTCACGAGTTGCCCTGCCGCGATTGCCGACATGAGAGATAATTCACCAGCGAGAACCGAGGCGGCGACCACCTTAGCCAACTGCCGGGCATTTGATCCAGCTGATTCTTTGTTTGCACCCTTCACTCCCAGCAAGTTAAGGCATGCAGATTGTGAAGCCAGCTGAGTTCCACCACCCACTGTCCCAACCTCTATTGATGGCATGGTCACTGATACATGAAGGTCTTTGCCATCGTTCACAGCTTCCATCATGGTGATGCAGTGGGAGCTCTCGATGTTCTGAGCTGGATCTTGGCCGGTGGCAAGGTACACAGCTGAGACAATGTTACTAGCATGGGCGTTGAACCCACCAAGAGCACCGGCCATGGCGGATCCGGTGAGGTTCTTGAGCATGTTCAACTCCACCAATGCAGCTACGTTTGTCTTCAGTACCTTCTTCACCACTTCTTCCTTTATGATTGCTTCACACACCACCGATTTGCCTCTCCCTTCGATCCAGTTCACAGCTGCCGGTTTCTTATCGGAACAATAGTTGCCGGAGATGCCAATGACGTCCATGTCGGGGAAGTCGGTCTGGAGATACTCCAAAACATTTTGAACACCTTTTGAAACCATGTTCATCCCCATTGCATCACCGGTGCTACAAGTGAACCTCATGTATAGATTCTTCCCTGCAATCGCACATCGGATTGTCTGAAGCCTCCCGAATCGGCTTGATCTGCGACAAATCATTTCATTCAGCTAAAATTAACCAACTAGTATAGTAGAAGTTACAACACATTTAGATATGACACATAAAACATTGGTCTGTACACTTAAAGTATAGTAAAATAATCTATTAAGACAGTTAAATATTTTTAAATTTCTATAAACTTGATTTTGTCATGGTGAGAAGATGTAAAACTATATCATTATTAACTAGAGCTATCTTACTTGTTGAAAACAGATGCTAGAGTCTCAAAGTTTTGTGGCTCCTCCAAGAAGAACTTCAAATCCGCAGCCCTCCTGGCGGTGCCGAACCTGACGACCGGAGCTCGAGTCATGCCATCCTTAAGCAAGATGCTGGTGGCTCCACCGGAGACGAAAATGGCCTTACAACCCCTGTTGGTGCTAGCCACAAGACACCCTTCAGTGGTCGCCATGGGAACCGCAAACTCCTTTCCATCCAGCAACAACGGACCAGCAATACCCACGGGTATTTGGACATAACCAACCGGCATTTCGCAACACTGTCCCAATATGGATTCGTAATCAAGCCCGTCCAGCGGCAAACCGTCAAGAGACTTGCCGGTTATCCTCTCCAAGGCCACTCTTCTGATGAACGCTGCGCGTTTGCAGTCCCCAAGCTTCGATTCCAACGAGTAAGATGGCGTTTTCCCAGAAACCACAGCTTGTATCACAGCCTCATCTTCTTCAGACACTGTTGTTCCTATAATTGGTACCATTTCGACATCCTTCTTTAACACTGGCTTTACAGGCAGATCAGATTCGCAATCGAGAGAAGCACCACATGGGGTCGCACGGGTGTCTTCCTTACGGATGATCTCATTAACATCACCTTCTGTTGTTCCTTCTAACTCCTCCTCTTCGTCATCGTCCGGAAATGGCGTGGCCTGGACGAAATTCATGCCGAAGAACCCGAGAAGGTAGATAAAGGAGGCAACGAAGGTGAAGATGGCAGCCATCTCAGACATGGTGACAACATGAAGAGGAGTGGAGTTACGGATCTTTTCACGCCATCTGGTAAGGAGAAAGTAAACAACAGAGAAGAAGACAGTAAAGAAGACACCATTCGAGATGCCCATTGGAAGAGGGACAGTATCAGACGAAGCCTTTGCAGCATCCACCACCTTTTTGTTGTTTGCTTTGAACATCTGATCATCAGAAGGATAATCAAACTGACCTTCACCTGCCATGTTCTTTCCTTTGGTGGCAGCCTGTTTCAACAACGATCGTCGACGGACATCCATCCCTTTATCACGGTGGCCGGTGGTGGGCTGATGGGATGGAGCCCGTGACGATTTCGCTGAGGATAAAAGTGTACGGATTGTAAAGGTTTTGTAAAGCAGGTAGTAAGTGATGATTGAACCACGAAAGATTTGCAGAATGGCAGTAGGGCTGGTGGGTTTGATTTATAGGTGCCGAGACTATTCTCATATGGAGAAGAACGCCTACTTTGAATCTTGAAGACTGCAGTCAGAGAAGGGTTGCAGATGTATTAAAAATAATGGAGAAGAGCACATCAAATGGGAAAATAATGGCCATGAATTCCGTCACTGAATTTTCTACAGCTTCAAGTCATTCCATTGCTGTCCAAATCAACACATTTCCAGAGGGATCGTCTTAAATTTCTTGATAAGGAATTAGGAATGTGCGTAAATTTTAGGGTTAGATACTTACACATATTTGGAAGAGTAAACTACAATTTTAGTCCATGTGGTTTACATCAATTATGATTTGGGTTTGAATTTTGCTTTCCGTTAAAAATAGTCCGTTAAATATAGGGTATTTCTGTCTTTTTACGGATTTTGTTTTTGTTTGGTCTTCTATACCCTATCGTACCCCATGCTTCTCCTCCCCTGTCGTTGCCGACAACAACCCTAAAAGCAGCATGTACAATCATGGAACCGATTCCATCTCACTACAACAAAATCGGGTTTATAGGACACTCTTAAATTCTAAGTGTTATAATAGACGTCTTTATAGGACTTAGTTTATATGACCAAAAAAATAAAGTGTCATATCTAAAGTTGTTGCAATAAGTTTATATGACGTTTTTTGACGTCATAAGTTTTTAGGACATTATCAACTTTATAGTACACTATTTGAAAAACTGTTATATAAAAACAAGTGTCATATAAAAAATTGAGTTTATAGGATAATTTCTCAAAAGTGTCCTATAAAGTTGCTAATGCGACATTTTGTATTAAAAATGTCCTCAAAAACTTGTTAAGACGTCCAAAAGCGTCATATAAACTTATTACAACACCTTTAGATAAAACACTTTATATTTTGGTTCTATAAATTAAGTCTTATAAAATGGTCTATTGGAACACTTAAAGATTGTGGGTGTCTTATAAACCCAATTTTATTGTAGTGTCTCTATCTCTAAAAAGACCATGATAACTCATTCCCCTTAGCCCGCCATCTCCATCTCTAGAAAAAACCATGAAAATTGATCCAACTGGTTTTCTCATATCTAAAGGGCATGGAATATCTCATTGTTTTGGTAAGAATCTATAGAAAATTGTGTCTGTTAAATTTTCTGATGTGGAAACACGGAAAAAGTCCATTCAATTATTGTGTGAGAGATGATGAATGTTGCTGGAAAATGGAGAATGGGATGACATAAAGAAGGATTATGATGGTATTGAGATTACTGGAGTCGTGGAAGGAGAGGATGAGAAGAAACAGATGGTGGTGTTGTGGCTGTTGGTGTACGTCGAAAGTGAGACACACGCTACTCCATGATGACTATGTATGTGTATGTCTTCTCTCTTATTTTTTTTTGATTAACCTGGATATCCAACCCGTTATGCGAGCCGACTAATCCCAGGGACCACATGCTTTGCAGATAGCCCGAAGTCACCGCATTTGAACCTTCATGGCCACAAAGGGATTTTTATTTCTCCTTGGATTTGAACCTGAGACTTCCTGGTACTTTTGACCTTTGAAGCCAAGCTCAAACCAATCAGGCACCACCCTTATGGTTGTGTCTTCTGTCTTACTTATGTGCTTTCTATGTCTTGTTTGTTGTTTGGGGAAGTAGCCCAGGGGGTCAACATATGCGTGTGCATGTTGTGACAGGTGAGAAAGGAAACGGTAGCATCAGGTGAACGGGACGGCCAAAGAAAAGGGATTGAGTGAGGGGACGACCAGTGAAAAGGGAAAGTGACGGATTGGTCCATATAGTCTTAGATACTATATATACATAATAGTAAAAGGACAAAGATAAACCTCTTTTAACACATACTTTAACAAAGCTTGTGAGAGGGACCAATTTCAAAGCAAAATACAAACCACCATGACCATTGTTATACCTACTGAAGTTTAAGGACCTTTTTCGTAGTTGGATGTGAATTAGAGGGACCAAAATTGTAGTTACTCTAATTAAAATTATGCAAGCATCTTGACTTGTCGAGGTTTCCCACTAGACTTGCATGCATAAAAGATCTAAAGATATTTTGTTACATTTGGTTCAATGTTTTGAACACAAATCATTTTTGCAATTTAATTCCATATTTTCTTTTCATTATTAAAAATCTAATAAATTATTATGTTATTTAATATATATTAATTTAATTATCTTTTACTATTTTTAATAAAATCAACAACTTTTAGATATTGATGATAGACAAAGAAAAGAAATGTAATTTGTTTTCTTAAAATGTCAAAATATTTATACTATATTATAAAATATTTAACAAAAACTCTTAAAAATAATATTTTATGAAGTACTGTTTATTGATGCATATTACTTAAAATTCAAGATTACAATAATTTTGCATAAGTACAATTTATTAAAGCTATATTTTTAAATTTGTGTAACTAACTG